TTTGCGCGCGTTATTTTTTTTAGTTATATATGTACACGTATATCCGTTTAAATGCACAGTCCCTAATTACTTCACGATTATATGCGGTTGTCTTTCATGGACCATGCCACTCTTGAATTCTCGAATAAGCATTCCTCGGTCCGTGATTCTCAACGTGCCCGTGAATCTTCTAGAGACCCTTGGGCCTTTCACTAACTCTCACGTTTATTTACAAAGTACCGACGCGTTTATCGCGCATAATTAAGGCAGTGTTTCGATGAGTTCGTTTGGAGAATCGAGTTCTCCTGCCTCCTTCGTTTCACTCGTTCTTTCTTTCGCACGCACACACGCACTCACTCCAACGGCGATCCGTTTCACTCGCTGATCGGTCTCGAGTTTATCAGTCGCCGTTCGATTGTATACTGATTCACTGATCACTTCTCACGGGTGGGTGTACAACGCAGTCTCGACTTTCACTCACTGAAAATGCTTTTCAAGATCCGGTTTTCTGTTTATTCAAAGCCACGGGCCGAGCTGCGCCTCCAGAATTGTGGCAGCGTCAGTCCTGCCCATTACTCTAAGATGATTCAACAAATCCGTCACCGCCGTCGGTTCTCGATGCCTCGCTTCCCACAAATCCAGAATATGCTCGGTCGGGCTGGCCTTAGTTGCGAAGTAATTGATGTACCTATTATACGAACGAAGACACCGGCTGTGTTATTACCAAGGAAAGTAGTAGTTATATTGCTTATATGGCAAAATGGAGCGCGTTTAGGGAATATTTAGTAATAGTAAGGAGATGAACGACGTAAATAATATACGAAAAAACGATTTTGTAGAAGTATGTACATTAGAAAAAATGTTTTATTCAGAATTTTGTTGTAACAACAGAAATTTAATTAAAATATAATTTTAAACAACAAAACTGTAATTTTATGCAAACTAAATTGTTTAATTTGTATAAATAAATAATTTTGTTATTTATAGAGCAGAACAATGTATTTTATAGAAACAACTAAACTTATTGTTATATAAATAAAATATTTGGTTGTTGCAAAAATTTGTTGCAAATTTCAACTAAACAGTTTCGCTAAACATTAAATTCTTTTTCTAGTAACTTTAATTAAATACAGATCTGAAAATAATTTTATTGAATCATAAAAATAATTATGTAGAAAATTCAAGCATGATAAAATGTTACAAAAAGCTTTGATAGTCTAGCCAGCTTGAATGTCTTACATAATTATTTTGAGGAATGTCTAACGAAATGATTTTCAGATCTTCACTTAGCTAAATTTTTAGATACTTTGAAAAAACCATTCTTTCCCTCTATAAAACTTCTTAACTTAAACAGACTTCATATATTGACATTATAATTTTTTAAATTAGTCATGAAAACTAATAAATTTAATAGACAGTTAAGCATATTAATCGGCGTTAAAAGGAACCGTTTAATCTTATTGTTAAAACAAATATTATTATGTTGTTTGATTTGTATTGAAACGTATAAATCTCTTGGCATTAACGAATGCAATTTCATGCTCTGCATAAATATAGTTGCGCATTTAAAGAAGCTTTACTCTAGAATAATAAGTAAGATGGAAAGTTGTTGGCCGGGTCACTAACCTGTCGACTTGAAGCCTCTGCGCTAACATTCTCCAATCGTTGCCCAGAGCATTCGGTGGGTCTAAGCATTGGCAGAGCTGCTTCCTCAAAGATCTCGTAAATCGGAACGGTCGTAGAGTGGTAGAGTCAGTCGTGGCATTGTTAGCATGTCCGCTGCTAACCACGGTGACTTCCCTGAGTGGTCTCGTGACACTACCCGAAGAGATCAACTGTTTCGCGCCATCGTAAACGATTCTGAAGACCTGTCTCGTGTCGGAGTTTCCTTGCGAGACTTGTAGCTTGTAGCTTCTCGTGGTAGTCGGACCAAAGGCCGTGTCCAGGCCGAAGGTTACGTGCTTGGCGTTCTCCTGACGGTTCCAAACATCCCGGAACGGGACTTCCTGACGTTCTGTGGGCGACTTGCTCTGCCACTCGTTACCGACTTCCTCGAGACTGACGCAGAGCGACTCCCCGTTGTCTTGGAACAGCAACGTGCGCGGCTTGTCCAACAGATAGCCCCTGATTTGCGATTCCCGATCGACGATGGCTTTCATTGCCGCCTTCGTGTCTTCCACGGCATAAACGCGAACGCAGCACTGACCGGCCTGACTGGCGAAGAGTGCTAATCGCAATCTCTTCGTGGCGATCGAATTTTCGCAGCTCTGTCCGGCTAACACATAACCGCGGAGTTGCTCGGTTACTATGAAAGCTTCCGCGTGATCTAGCTGCGTGAACAGCGGTGTGTTGATAGTCTCGTTGCCTAGAGTTAGTACTCTGCTCCACGTAATTGATTGATGATCTTTCGACATCGAAGAGGAAGCGTCATCGACGTTAATACCGTCGCATGCCCAAACACTCAGTTCCCAGGTTGCCGGATGCAACATAGCGCAATGCTCAAATTGAAGAATCACAGGCTTGTTAAAGGTCGCGGATGACGGGCCGCAGGTCACCACAGCTGATAACTGAGTTATCCCGTCTGTGGGGAAAAAACAGGGAGACTCGAATGGTGTAAGCGATATACAGCGGAAATAATAGCGGCACGAATGTAACATCATGAATTATCGAACTTAATGCCATTATTGTACGTTATCGTTATCACCGATGTTGTTATTGTAATATCCGTCACGTTAGACTCATTTGATTAATTGTGTTTAATATATTAACATGCTTAATATATTAAGCGCGTGTAATTTTCCAATCAAGGGTAAACTAAATTAAAGTTATCGAGGATTGCAAAATCTTTTCTTTTCCCTAGACAGTTTTATCCACCGTCCCTAACATAAGAGCCGGTGTAGCGATGCCCTATATTGAACATCAAATCAAGCAGGATATAACTCGCGCGAAGCACGTGCAGGGAATGGCGTTGATATAAAAATAACATCGCGCTATCGCGAATATCTTGAATGTACACTGCGAAAGTTCGCAGCTGCGATCGTAAAGCTCAACATCCGCCTCCCGCGACGCGTAACATCATGAATAATTCGCACTCACCGGGTAATCGGGGCCGGTAACGATCCTCGTTGAGCACCGCCAGATAGAGTTCTTCCCGGAGCGGTTTGGGAACGGCTCCCTCGGGTACCGACATAGAGATCCCGGAGTCTGGAAGAACCAGCAGGGCGCCACGCGTGTTCACCGCCGCCCTGGCGACGTTTCCAGCTTCCAGCTTTGGCAACCGGACGCTTTCCGAGGCAACATTGTACGTGGAGTCCGAGGACGGGTAAGAACTAGTGACACTGTTCTCGCTGTCGGAGTGGATCTGCTTGTCGCTGCATGACTCTTGGGTCGACGTGCTCGGCGTGGGCGACATCGGCGACGGTTGCGGCGCGATCGACAAGTGCGGCACGTCGTAGTGGTGTTCCGAAAGGGATCTCGACATCGACAGCTTCGGGTCGAAAGGATACTCGTAACAGGCCGGCACACTCGTTGCCGTCACATCCGGTTGCAGACTCAGCTTCTTGTCCTGATCCGGGAAGAACTCCGGCTGGAATTCTGAAACGCACACGGCCGAGGCACGGCTCGTGGGTATCTCTGCGCGCTGCGGACAAACGCCGCCGAGATACTATTCCGATTCTACGTGTCTACGGGCTACGATTGAAATGTCGCGCGAAAGAAAAATAAAATATTGCAATATATGTCTCATTTGCTATAACAATGACGTAACTCAAAGCAGCTTAGTTTTTCCAGTAAAAATGTTTCGAATCATTAAAATATTATATAAATATTATATTAATTTTGAAATGTAATTTTTATATAACTAATTGTAAAAGAATAAAAGTACTGTATATTCTTTTAAAGTTTTTTAATTTTCTTTATGTTCTCTAAAATTTTTAAAGTAATTCTCACTTTGAAGAGTAAAAATCTCTCTCTTAAAGATTGAAAACTGAGCCATTCTTTTTCAAGATTGACTCAATTTTCACTCTTTGAATAAGATTTCATTCTAAAGAATTTAAAAAATTTCCATTCTTTATCGGCAAGCAACTCAAAATGACAATTTTTAAGTTACGTCGTTGTAACAAATGAGCTAAATTATTGTGTCTATCAGTTATTAATATTTTAATATTTTGTTTGCTTTTTGTAGTCTAGATGTTTATTTATTTATGGTTCAGAGAAAATGAAAGTAATAAGTTATATTAATTTCGAAATAGTATCTTCCTATTCCCAATTGTGAGAGACAATATCTCTCAGTGCGATAATGAGCATGAAACAACTGAGCAGGAAATAATTTAATGAGTATAAATAACACGATACGATTATTTGTTTTATTTGCGTATTTAATTGATCGTAACGTAATACCTTTAATTATCGCGAAAAGAAAGTTAATCTTTGAAAAGAACAAAGTTTTGGGTATCACGTATCTAATTAGAGAGAATCTAGTCGAAATGTATAATTTTTATCTTTGCTTTAACGTTACATTCGTTTTTACCTTTGAAATGCTTACCATTACGAGCCATGGAGTACAAAGAGTGATCACGACCTTTTCGTCGCAAAAGTCTCGCCAGAAAGATCGCCAAGCCACCAATTACCACACAGGCGACCGTTAGACCGACATATAAGGCTACGTCCATCTGGCGATTCGCTATAATAGAATCACATATTGCGAATTTTTAATATCTTTCTTATCTTTCATTATTGATCTTTTATAGAAGGAACAACACGATGGTCGCGTAAAAATGTTTAGCTGAATGATATTGAATATTATTGTAAATAGTGTGCAAACAATTTTTAATATAGAGATATCGTGCATGAGCGACTTAATTGTTTCCTCGTGAATCGCTTAACGTCATAACCTTTATTTACTTTGTGCATGAGACTTCTTTTGTTATGACAAAAAAAGTCTACAGCACCATAGAGTATTAAACGCCTCTGCGTCACTAAATATTACGAGCGTCATAGGAAAGTTTTAAGGTTCCTCTCCATTTACACGCTCCGGCGACACGCTCGTTTCCTTCGTGCGCTCGTTTTCCTTAGCACGTCAGTTTATCGTTTTACAGCTCTGCGTTATTTCGTACGACTATAAAGATTCCGATCATTATTATCGCTGCTATTAACGTATGCAATAAAAGCATCGCGATGCGAACATGTTTCAAGCGAAATAATAATTTTACGTGCCGTTGTGCCCGAGGTGAAGGGAAGAGAACCCGTTGATGAAAAGCGTGGCATCGGAATTGCGGTTTAAAACGATCGACCAAGATTGTATCGCAATGCGAGTATTTAGCGAAGTATACAGACGAAATTACGGGAAGATACATGGGATGTTGTCAGGGATCGTGCGAGAAGATATATACACGGATATGAATTCACCGTAGTGCTTTACGACCGTGTCATCGTCGCCCGTTCCGGATATATGGATAATGTAAGTAAATGCACAACCTCGAAGGAAATGAAATTCTCGAAAATAAAACCAGGCGCATAGTAAAACGTTACGCGGCGCAGAAGCCTCGCCGCAATATCTGAATTATGGGCAATTTTTCCTTTTACCGGATTACTTCGCGTGCTTAAGCATTCACGGAAGCTCCCTATAGGCGCAGTTCTGCGGCAACGAGAGACACGATGTAGAAAATGTCCCTGTGGTCGTAAAAATTTTCGAGAAATACCTCAACCGCTTGCCGTGCGAAGAGTGCCTGACACTCTTAAGCTTCTTCCAATTTTAGAATGTCAAAGCCATACGAGGTCGTAACCCTGCTACGTGACTTTCGAGCTCAAACTCCCTTTCGCGGGATCATGTGTGTCTCGTTGGCGCACGCCGTGTTCTCGACACGTGCCTCGCACATCAATATATATGCGACAGCGACGAAAATGCATACGAATTCGGAGGAGGGATTTTGAAAACGCAATAGTTCCACGTCGTTACCCGCAGGACGAGATCGGAAACGCGCATGGTTTCCACCCTCCTCCTAAAGACAGCTTGAAAAGTGGCTTTCCGCAGGGGCGTCGGGATTTATTTTCTTCGAAGCTATTGATAATGCTTCATAAACCGAACCTAATGTATCTGAAGCTATTTCTCATCTTTATTTCTGAGAGATAGCGCATTGCCCAGAATGATTTCAACTTTTACCATTGGTAAATTTATTCATTTTCTATATAATGACTGCGTAAGATATTGATGATTATTATTGTTATATTTATAAAAAGCTTATGTTATTTCCTTACTTTAAAAGGGACACAATCAAAAAAATTAAATTTTTCAGAGAAAAGGAGAAAAATTATTTTTTAACTCAACAGAAAATGATTGATTAATTAAATAATATCGAAAAAATATACTCTTAAAAACATGATTAAAAACATGAAGTATCATTTATGTCAATTTTATTTCGCATATTCCGAAAAATTATTCTTTTTTTTTTAAATTAATAATTTTGACATCCTAATTCTAAATTATAATAAATATATAATTATATTTAAAAATGATATAACTCGAAATGTCCAACCAACAGTTGATATTTGATCAGCTAAAATGACTAAATAATTCAAAATAAAACAATTTCTTTTTTAATTGTATTATTTTTAAATAAAGAAATATTCTTACATTTATATCATTATATTTAAGTAACGTTAAAATTCTGTATAATTACTATATATTTTTGCTACAATGATACACTCGAACATCGATCAATATGATCTGCCCATTACAAACGTTCTACCTCGATTGACGGCATCGCGTCTTAAATATTTACACCAGGGACGTCCGAGATGACTTGGGGTTCTTGTAAGACGCCTGCTGGCGTAAGGCGGTAAATCGCATCACGTTCCTCCGGCGTGCGCGCGCGATATCTTCCATCTATATTTTATCGTCGCTTTCAGGAAAATCGAACTCACTTCTGGATTCAAGGGGGTTGTTTCGGGGCATCCAGCCCCCTCGAGGAGAGATTCAGTCGTGTACACGCTCGGGTCTGAGCTCTGGGATAATGGCACTTTATTTGCATGCGCGATCAATTTCCCCCTTCCGCGGCGAGGGCGTAACGGCTACCGATTACATAATTTTCTTCGATATTAAAGCCAGTCTCTCCGCCCCTCGGCGCAAAGAGGGTAGAGAGGGTGCAGCCGTATCGCGTGCAACTTTGATGTGCGCTTCGGTCGATAGAATTGGCTACCTTAGGGTAGCGCGCGCACGCGGGGAAATTGGCGTCTGTACGGACCGGTGGGCCACCCTTGGCTAAACGAGCTGCTGCCTCATTGTTACGATTGTTTGGATCGCGCAATGAGGGGTCGCAACGATCATATCGGACCTTCGTGGCAGCGTCAATAATTAATTGGTCGAGTAATTAAAAGTAAATAGTGCGCGGGAGAGCCATCCGCGCTTGTTATCGGCGCGGCGCGGAAAAACGCGTCCGTAAATACGTCGCGGTGAAGCGAGCGATATCGTGGGCAGTCAATCAGCTCTCGTTTCATTCTCGGAAATTATTTTTAGCATAAGCGCGTAGATCGACGAGTTTGATGCACGACGCGTATATATGCGTATATATACGCCCCAACTCGCGTTATTATACATCGGAGCAATGAATAATAATGCTAATGTTCACCGAGCCTGGATTCACGCTTTCTATTTTTGCTGCCTTTTTCGAGGTGCATAAAACATCTGATTTGAATGGTATCAGATCGTCGGGCATAGCGCCGCGTCGCCGAGAATATAAATGGCGTGCACCGGGCGTGAAGAATCCATCCAAGAATGTCGCACGACGAGTTAAGGACATTTGCTTCGCGGTCGAACGCCTCGGTCGCGCCCTGTATACGCGAGGGAGAACCTCCTATTCCTTTCATCTCGTTTTATTTTTCGCGAGCGTCTACAAATCCGGAACGAATCGAAGGAGGAGATCCGCGTACATCGCGAGAGAGATCGTAGCTTATCTAATCGAGAAACTTTTCTCTTTGCAGCGCGGTCGGCTCAGGAACGAACGGCACGGGAAAACGACGCGAGGTAAAATCGTAAAAGGATCGAGGGAGATTAAAAGAGCGGGAAAATGCTTTATTGCTTGCCCAACTCACCTTCCTCGGTTAAATGAGCGCCGCCCACCTTCGCGTTGCTGACTGTAAAAGGAAGCGCCGGTAAGTTAGATAATTAAAGGATTTCGATAGTACTGATAAAACTACTTCCGCGCAAATTCATACATCTGTTAACGCTATTTGTTTTACATTGAAACTAAGTCCACAGTTACGTTTTAAATTCTAATTCTACAAATATAAAAAATTCCGCGAGGATGACGTCAAATTGTATTTAAAAATGTAAAAGTAACAATGTATGTATCGCTCGTTTTAAAGGAAGACATCACGGTATTTTATTTTTGATAAAACCATTCTTGTGTTAAATTGATTTAAACGAACAAGATATTTATTTCTATTTTAAGCAAAATGAGAAATATATTCTTATCGCGTCTATATTAGTTGAAAATCGATACGACGGAACGGCTCGTCATTGAAACTTCACGATGCGCAAAAAAGTTGTAACGGGCGAAAAACGCAATCAAGACATAACAAAGTTCACCAGTGACTTACCGTTGCACATGCCACCGGTGCAATTCGCCACGTTGATATCCCTGCCCTGGCAAGATCGTCCACCATGGCTAGGTGGTGGATCGTCGCATGTTCTTCTCCTTGTGTGCGTACAGTCGCTCCCACACACTGACCATGCCGACCATCTAGACCATTGTCCGTCCACGGCTGACAAAAGAAGCAAAATAGAGACTTCGTTTCGTTCAGAATCGTTAAGACGAGTCCGATCGATGTATAGCGATAATAAAAAAGTTCGACAGGACAAAAAGGCTCGTAATTCGCGCGAATCTCCGCGTATAGTCTCGTTGGTCAGAAACTATACTTGTCAATTTGGTTACGTTTATTGCCACTGTACTGGTTCTTATAACGACGTTTATCTCTTTTATATATAATTGACTCATATTGGTATGTTTTTCCTTAAAATTTAGATCAGTGTGTGTGAAGGAAAAAGAAAAGACTATATAGAAAGATGACTAACTAAAACATCAAACTCGTTTATATCTCTAATCTCTCGTTTCAAGCCGGCTGCTTTATTGGCACTTAAGCGCCATCGAATATATAGCGCGTCGCACTTGCGGCGGTTTACTGCGTTTTATTAAAACGCCCTTATCCGCGGTCGCGGCTGCGGTCGTGTATGTGTCGCGGTTTAATTTTCGTTCCGGGCTGAGGGACATGATTCATGCATATGTGAAGGACTTACCCAGGGTGTTAGTGAATTCTTCCAAAGCCCCGGCTACTCCAAAGCGAGCGTTAAGGGGAATAAAAAGTGCGTCGTGAGTGCATTGACCAACGCGAGTGCGAGCGGTTAACGTGTCTCTCGCGTGAAAACGCCGAAAGAATATCGGATCGATCAATGTCTTGACCGCCGATATAAAGCGAGCGCCGACTTTCCTCGGGTATTATCCCCGTGGGCTTGGTCATTTGCATGCAGTCTGCATATTCTTTACGAGGATAGCCACAGGTGCCTTTAAGATGTCGCAAACGTTTTGAAAGGTGAATACGATAAAGACTTCACGTATATTTGAAAAGACTGTGTGGCATGTGCAATAGATACATTCGACGAGGAAAGAGGACACAAGCGACGCGAGAGGATAGGACGTCACACATCAAGCGAGAATTTCCTTTCTTCAGCATTAATAATATCATCTTACGATGGCAAAATCTACTTGTCTATCGTTTGATCGACATTAACTGAGAGAAGAAAGAGGAAAACCATTTTCGCTTGCTTACAAGTTAAATACCTTGAGCGACGTCATTGTAGTAGGTTAAGATATAACAAAGATGCTTGTTTAATATAACAAAGAGATATACGAAGGTAGACAAGAACTCTCTTCGTAATGCAGACAAGTTTCTTCGTCGAAAATTTTACGCGCGTTCTTGCGAGCACGGATAATGAATTCAAGGGACTCACCGGAGCAGCCCGAGTTGCAGTCCATCTTTTGCTGAGAGGGGCCGAGGCATGGCTGACCGCCGTTCATGGGCGCTGGATTCGTGCACGTCCTCGTCCTCTTCTGACCGCCTTTCGCGCATCGTGAGTGGCATTCCGACCAGGACGACCAGGAAGACCAGCCGCCGTTAACTAATTGAAATCAGTAAAAGTTTTTATTTAATGTAAAGAAAAAAACTTTGAAATATACGTAGTCAGGTACAAATATTTCCGACTCAAGAAAGGGTGAATAAAAAGGATAATAAAATGAAACAACTATTTTTATTTTTCAGTTTTCAATTGAAAAAATTTTAAACATTTTTAATGATATAGAAAAATTTATTCATTGTTAAAAAAAATATATATTAAAACAAAAAATAATTATTAAAAAATAAAAATGGTTATTCCATTTCATCACTTTTTTATATCCTTGGATTAGAAAGTTTTAGAGACCTTATTATTATATAACACTAAGAAACATATAATATAATGTATATAATAAAGAACTGCGAAGAATTTGCAAGGAAAAAATAATTTTAGCGAAAGATACAAATCTGAAAATAGTTTTGTTTAACCATCTAAATAATTACATAAGTAATTACAAGAAGCATGATGAGCTTTCAAGTATAATGAGCAATGCTGCAAAAAATTGTTCCGGTAATCAGTTTGAGCATCCTACACAATTATTTTGATGGTCCAACAAAATTATTTTCAGATATATATCTAGCTAAAGTTTTAGAGTTCTTTTTGCGTATAATTATTAAAGGGAATCTTTAATAATGAACTTACCGTATACTGTTAAGCTAACTGGTTCGCTTAACCGTTTTGCCGCAATATTTTCTGCGACGCAGGTGTAATTCGCCTGATGACTAAGTTTTGCTTGACCAATAAGAAGATGACCTTCGCTGGATACTAAAAGAGTATCCGATTCGGTATCTACGGGGATATTATTTCTTAACCAGTAAACTCTAGGTGGTGGCACTCCCACCGGAGGTAGGCATCTAAGTTCGGTACTTTGACCTGCTTCGACAGACACGGAATATGGTGGCGATTCGAATTGCTTTTTCAGATCTGAAAAAATAATTACACGTCTTCGTTTTAATAAAAGTCAAGAATAATTGATTAAAATTATCATTTAAACGCATTATGAAATTTGGAATTATGGATATAATGAATTCAGTTGAACAATTATAGTACTAGTATATTAAAATTAATGCCATTGTACACTGATCTAATCTGAATGAAAATAAAATATATCGAAATTATAAAATACAAATATATCGAATTGTAAAATACATATTTTATTAAACAACACAATAAAGTGTATATTGAGGATTTCGCGATTTAATTCATGAGTTTATATATTTATATTAAGCATACATTTTTACATCAATTTGTGGACGATGGTTTTAATGTATACTAGCGTGCACTGAGTGCCGAATCGAACTCGCTATTAGTGTTCCATTTCATATCCATTGAAAAATTTATATCATAATAAAAAATATCATAATATATTTTCGACATTTGATATTGTCAATCTCTTGTTATGTTACGTTCTATTTTTTTCTCAAGCGTACGCGGTGATCTATTTCTTCTATCGCTTCAAATGCATTTTTACATCTAGCTTTTGAGTTATGTAACTCTGAAATTGGCCAAGTGGTTCTGTCTTTAAATTGATTCTCTTGGAAACTCGACGTTCATTGCATTGTCGTCAATTAAGGAACAGAATTAAATAACGAGTTTGCTGGCAGGAGAATCAAGATAATTAAGAGAGGACAAAGGCAAAGTGAGACGAAAAGTCGGCTGTCCCCAGAATTCTCGCGACGTTTATTGCAAACCTTTCTGATTCATGTACCCTACCTACATCGAGAATAAGAACTGTCTTAAAAATAAGAATATAATCTAACTATAATTTGTTTTCGGAATATTGTTATCTTACTTACAGATTGAAAATTTTATCAATGAAATATTAAGATCATAGATATCGGAGAAAATTAAATGTTAGTATGATCTTATTTGTATACTCACAAGCAACGTCGATGATTGCCGGCTGACTCTTGATTTGCCCTGATCCAGACCAGGCGATGCACTCGCATTTGAATTTATCCTTGCCAAAGTATTCCTCGATGTGATCCCTCGTAACGTTGAGCTCGCAGTCAACGATTCTCGTTCCCGTATGGGGATCCACAAAATCCTGCTGCTGAGAATCCTCCGCCCTCACGTTGTTACAACGGAAATAGATCTGTAGCGCGTGAGCAGCCTTGCAACGTAAAATTGCGGGCTTATTCTTCACGACGAAAGAGTTTACGGGCTCCGTGAGGAAAACTGGTAAATGACCGCCGCCTTCAGAGATGAGTTCTGTATCGCTGGCTATCGTAGCTGAAGGCACATCGTCTTCTTCCAAGATATAAGCGTCATCCACCTCTGCGGCATCTTCGCCTTCTGACAAAGAGATAATTTCAATTTTCTATAAATTGCTCTTTATTTTTATAGACGTTTATAATCGTGGATAATAATGTTATTATAAATTTAGCTATCGTGTATATCTACTTATATATGGAAAGAAAGTAGATATCTCTTTTGTTGAAATATCTACATTAAAGAAAAAATTGTTCATTTAACTAATTTATTAAATTAATTTATTAATTTATTAAATAGGAGAAATTTCTATATTTGATCATAGTGGATTTTAGTAGTTTTAAATATTTCTTTGTGAATTTATATATCTGATTCTGCAAATTGAACGAAATTTTTTTCAGTCTTGTAACATTCAAGTACAGAATCAGAATAGTAATGTCACTTATTAATTTGATAAGCAATTTAATAATTTTTGATGCTAATAAGCATCTTTAGAAAAATATTAATAATTAGATATTAGGAAAATACAAAATCGAATAATTTTTTTTGCAAAAAATATTGCCTCAGCCATTTGAACTTTGGAACTCCTGAACTTTTCAAGTATCATACCAATTCGATCATTGAGACATTATTTGTCGCAATAAACAATAATTAGTAAATTAATTTAATCAAATGAACAATTTTTTCTTAATGTAAAAGTTTAACTGGATATAGATGTGAAAATAATTTTGGATCAATAAAAAGGTCTAACAAAATTATTTTTAAATCTAGCTGAATTTTTAGATATTTTAGTAAAACCATTATTTCCGCGTATCATTATTATCTTTATAATTATATCAAAGAGAGAAGTAACACATTGATTTATTCTTACAATATACAAACGAATTTCGTGGAAAATTGCACATTAATATGAACAATTAACCGTGACACATAATAGTGCTTGTTATTACGTAATAAATTGATTGCGTATTGTAATTGCCGTCATAATGCCTCGTAATCAGCGAAAATCTGGTGTCGCAGCAAGTACAGAGTCGATCGTCTAAATACGCCGTAATCGTAACTCACGGTCCAGTTATTAATTCGATGATGATCGTTATTCATGTGGCGTGTACTATCGGAGACGTGAAAATTTTATATTTGCCTGTCAACAATGGTGTCGCTCCTGTAAATCCTGACGCTCGGCCATTAATGTAATGCCGCTTCGCGCAGACCGACTCGAATGCTGGCTACGAACAATCGCGGTGCGCACTGCAGTAATGAATTTTCGGATTTACGCGGCGCACTGGTGCACAAGTCCGATGTATTTTCCGCCAACGAGTGGTTAGACCTTTATCCCCGTGCGACATTTGGCCGGGGGCCACAATTTCTATCGCGATAAACGCGCCACCCTATAGTATCGCTTGTCTCTCTCTCTCTCTCTCTCTCTCTCTCTCTCTCTCTCTCTCTCTCTCTCAGTTTTTTTTATATGGAGAAGTTTAAAAAAAATATGCCACAGTAATAAACTTCGTCTGCATTTCATTTTTTTATACGATGCTCAATTTGTCAATGTGAAGTCCGATATCGAACGTACTGCTGCCGCGACATAAATACAGAGATGAAGAAATCATGCAGTGCGTTAACATTGCTAATGCATTCGCATATTGCAGACATCGGATTGCAACGGCAATACAGTATCGATATGAAATAAACGCGTACGATTACGGGATCAATGCCGATGCGCATATTCATCTTACGATCGATCGCTTCGGTACGATAAAATATATGAGAATAGCATTTATGAATAAAGTAATACATGTTATCGTCAAAACTCGAAGAAAGCAGTTACCAATAATGCATCGCTAAGGCTCCATTTTATGCTACAGAGAAGAATGCTTTGAAGCATTCTTCTTGATTGGTCAATTAAAAATTCTTTCTCCTTATTGCTCAATCAAATTGTTTCGAAACTAAATGAACCGCACTCCTAATTAAATCTATTTATTTATCCATAAATTAGTGATGGACAAATTGATAATTTCTTTCTCCGAATTTTGACAATAATATTTGGTTCATTTCAACGATTATTGAATCCATCGCACGTACATGTCGAAATAAATATCGTCGAGTAAAAAAAATCAAATAAAAAATATTAAAAAATATATGACGCTATTCTTGAAGGGAGTTACGCCGATGTTACAATGAAACTGGCAATTGCTAAGGGATGAATAGAAACGCAACGGCAGCGGCGGCGACGCCGGCGACGCCGGAGTCAGAGCTGGAATTCGGTAACGCGCGACGCACTTGTACGAGACGCAAGTAAAATAGGATTTTCATCGGTTTCCGATAATTCGAGCAGATCGAATGGCCGATAGGACCCATCGAAATCATTCTACCTGGTTTCTCCTGATGGCGAATTCATCCATATGAATTCTCGTTAGCCGTTTGGGCGCATGCGGCCAGTTCGTTAACCGTTTCGAACATGCGTATACATTCGTCCGGGATTTTATCGTACAGCACGATATCGCATGTAGGGCGAAATGAAAGTATCACGAATCGTCTTATATTGCCTAACATACATCTTATTTATTACGTAATCTCCAAACATACAAGCCAAAGGATCGGCATTTAATACCGGCGCGATGGAATAACTATCAGACCCCAATTGGAATTGTCGGTTCTATATATTCCGGGTTTCTCTCTCCTAATTGCAGTTGCGCGTTTATGGCCGCTCGTCTTGTGAATTGATCGGACGCTGTATAATTTGTAGCCATGATCTATTTGTACGACTAGCGGCGTTCCGATAGCGGCCTTTCCACCACATTGGATACGTACAAAGGAAAAGAGTGCACGCGATAACAAGACGTGGATTTAATCGAGCGACGTCACGCGATGCGCGGAAGTGGAAAGGGTTGGAATGGGATTTTCATTGGTTCCCGATAATTCAAACAGATCGGATCATCGGATATAGGAACGCGCTGAGTGATTCGATCTCTGTCTCTTTCTTTCACCGAATCGAATATGACTTATACGACGTGCATTGTCGTTACTCAGTCAATTCGCGTGTATTTTTGATGACTGTTTCCAGTGACACGGTTAGTTCTTTTAGCGTTGAAGCGGCTTGCCAGTTTACCTGGCCGAGGTCTTTAAACGCCGAAAACAAGAACGCGAAGAGAGAATACAAGCACGAAACGAACGACTTAATTGAGCTAGGTCACGCGACACCGTAATGCCGAGTCAGTGGCGGAAAAAAGTTCCACCATCGGTTCTAAATAATTATTCCGAGCGGCCGCGTGGAATCTTGGGCACAATGAATATTCGATGACTTCGAGAGCAGAAAGCGTCACGATCATTATTCATTTTACACGCGCGTATCGGGCAACGTATAGCAACGTACGCGACTCGCCGGATTATGACGCGTACATACATATTTCGAATTGGTTCCGCAATCCGAAAGCCACGTTTATCTCGATCTATCGATTAATAATGATGATATTGAAAAAAAAAATTCGTGTGCGACAGTTGGGGCGAGAAGTCTAATCGAGAGACGTCACGCGACACGCGCGCGGCAGTCGCCTGTCGCATCGGTCCGTCGATCGGAGAATTGTCATCGGTTTCCGATAATTCGGCGCGATCGAATGGGCGATAGGACCCGGATGGAAACGATGTATCCGGTCTCATATCGTCGCCGAATCACCTGGTCGCGGTGCGGCGCGGCGCCAGCCAGCATGAGGCCCCCCCTCCCTCGTTAGCTACGGTAGACGAGCTAGTTAGTCGTGTCTCCGTTAGATACGCCTAGCAGGCAGGCAGACTACGTAGTATGTACGTACGTACGTACATACATACGCGATGTGTATTCGCTTCTCGAACCCCACGTGGCTACTATGCGGGTTGGCCTGGGTTGGCCACGTATCGCGCCGGGACGAGACAGAGACACGAGCCACTGTGCATTCATGTACGGTTTCACGGTGCGTCCGTTCACCGGGGTGAGGGGTGAGAGACCACACATGACGCCTCTTAATTAACAAAAGGTACCTGCAACAGCAGCACCGAGAGAGAGTACCTTGCTCGTTGAGAGATCCTTGCTCGGTCGACGCCACGTTCATATAGGGGCGAACGCGAGAAACGGCAGATATACGCGGAGTGTATACGGACAAGCGCAACAAGATACGGCATACGAAACGAAGAGAGACGGATTAAGGAAGATACAAGGGATTCCTTGTTTCTCACGTCACGTGCCTTGTTATTTTAGCCAGCGAACACACCGAACATCTACCATCGCTGCCATAGTCGTTTCGTGGCAACATTGACCCAACGGCTTGTACCTTCCCTAATTTTCGTGCGCGCGCGGAACTGTCGAATGATACGAATAAACGGAATAAGCGAACAGCGAAATTCGTATCGGCACGCGAGTGTAACGTTTGAAGCTCTTTCAATAAAATCCTATTGAATAAAATGTCTTACCCTTCTTCCCATGCGAAAGGTGCGAAGAGACGAGATGTCTCTTCGGTGTCTAAAATCGGATTAGCCCGAAGTCGCGTTTCTACGTTACAGTATAACGGCCCAGGTATAAAGCAAATATTTTGAATGGATTTCGAGAGAGTACGAGCTGACAATAAGATCCAAAACTCGTATTGAATTAATGTTTTTTCACGATCGTTCTATCGTCGACAGTCGGAGAGCCCGTTTCCGGTTCGAAAATGTTGCGGATGTGCTATATCGTCACATCACAATAGAGGCCCGGCGCCTAGCCAGGTCGGGTCACCATTGTATTCTAGACCGTTCACAGATCACGACCTCCGGGTCTAAATAATGTGAGTCAAGTTCCACGCTCGTCGAGACTTTGTTGAACCGTCATTCAGACTAACGAGAGACACGATGACGAGTAGGTCGATACCATTCTTTTATCGATCGATATCGCACGAGACCGCGTGCGTGCGTGGGATATAGTCCAACGTAGATGGAGATCGCTAAAAGAAAAGTTGATGGAGATCGTGATTCTGATACTTTGCTCTGGCATGACGATGAGATCGGCGACGAGATGACATTGTATGGGACAGATTAAAATACCCACTGATCCGAATTGGTCGATACATTTTAATCCTGGTTAG